GAGGGTGGGAAGAACGCTGACGGATGCTGATTGCACGAGGGCTCCACGTAGAAGATGAGTGAAATGTGTATTCGTATTATATGTGCTGGACTAGGACTATCGGTAGCACGCTGCAATCACAAAACGGTAATCGGGGAACGCAGATAGGTTGTGGTCATGAGTTCAAAACTCTCCGGGCCCCGAGGCAGATGGGAGATTGAGAGCAGAGTAGAGCGTCAGAAGGGCAGGCAAGCAGTCGTGGGGCGGTAGAGGATAGCAGCCACGGGCGAATAAGTATGATGATGAGGGGCAGTCGTAGTCGTTCGTTATCGGATATTTGCGATAACGCGGATGACGACGTAGTTTCAGCTCTAGCGGCGGCGTTCTGCGACGAGGATGAGGCGGGGTGTGAGCGGACGGCGTTGCATCTACGAGAAGTCGATGGGAAGAGTGAGATGCAGAGAGGGTTGGAAGAAAGAAAACTGAAGTGAGGAGGGAGAGAGAGAAAGAGAGAGGAGAGGAGGAGAACAAAACGGTGTGGGGGACAGAGACCAAGTGAGAGACAAGAAATGCAAAGAATAAAACGAATGCCACGGCTTGTACGAATGAGACCAGGCCAGACTCCCTGGGGCCAGGCGGCAGACGGGTGGTGATGATGCTGTGGGTTGCAGGGACAGGCTGGCTGAGAGTGAAATCAACAGATGGCAGAGCTACCTACTACCTAAGGTACCTAAGGTAGGTAGGCAAGCTACTAATTAAATGGAAGGTGCAACACGGAAGGGCTACAGTCAACGTTAACTCGGAGGCTTTGTCGTCTCTTGCACGATCTGACTCCCACTGTCTGGACTAACTTAGGCCCTCGCTCGTCTCGGTTCAAAGACTGTGTTGTTGGCTGGGCCTGTTTAGGACACAGGGTAGGGTCTTAAGTTCTCGGGTACCTAGATATGATAGTTTCATAAATATGGAAAGACACTGCTCTCGTTTGTCTACCGCCTTGCTTTGTGGAAGAGCCGGTTGATGTCGTGAACAGTACAATGCAGGTTGGGCAATGGAAGTAAGATATTGGAAGTGAATGCTGACTTGATTTGAGGCTTGGCCTGGGTGAGCACCAGTGGACGCGGACTCCAGTGGTGGAAGCGCATGAGGCGTTTGGGTAAGGTAGTATGGACTACTCCGTACCAGCGAATAAAATGAAAACGAGCTATGCATAGGTAGGTCAGATCTAGATGACGGGGGGCGTGGAATGAAATGGTGGCTAATAAAGACCTTGCCAAGAGCTTGCAAGTGCAAGAGGGCCTTCTTTGTGTTAACCCAAGTCAATTGAGTACCAGTAAAGCCAAGCTAGATCGTACAGTAGACAAACAAAAGCAAGAATGGACGGCTCGGGCGTGTTGTGTTCCTCCAGCTCTGAGCAGGGGAAACACCCAAGTGGATGGCCTGTACGAAATGTGGCATTCGAGTCAGTGTCGTTGCTACAGTCGCAGTCGTATTTGCAGCTCATCAAGAACGGATATGAGACTTGAATCCATCAATGTGCCGACCAGCCGTCCGTGTTCGGCAGCAGGTTGAGAGCAAGGTTGACCGCGACCATGAAGGAAGCTTCCGACCAGCGGACGCTCTTGGTTGTAGAATGGCTATCAATACAGGACTGATAGGCAGGTGGGTGAATGGTGGAATTTGTGTGGTTTATGATACGCGCACCAGGCGAAGAATGGATCATCGGGAGGCTCTTATCGACGATGCCAAAAGCGACAACAAAATTGGAGGTCTAGCAAGGGAATGATGTCGCGGTGAAGAAGACAAGTATAGCAACATAGAGACACCCAGGCAATGGGACGAACACAGGCGATCATCAGCCGCTTCAACATCACACCAGACGTAGGAAACCGGCTCCTCATGCTGCCCTGGACAGACAGTCACACTCTGTGGCGTGCCAAACCACCCGACCATAGATGCCTCCACTTCTAAAAAAACACAGTTCGCCAAAAAGAGTCATGGTCATGGTCGTGGCCATGGTCATGCGTAGACAAAGTCTAGCTATCAGCTGCATGCGCATGGTAGGGAAGAATTCAAGCATCCATCAGCCAGCCCGCCCAAGCCCAAGCGGGCACATCACACCAATAGATCGACCAGGGCACAGGAACTCGGAGCAGGGAATTGCTAATATTTCATGGCCTTCCTGTCGAGGGGAATGAAATCTTCATACAAAGTGCAGCACATAGAATATGAGACTTACATGAACAACCTTCCTCCAGATTGGACTATTGGCGAGGCCTGATATCCATGTATGTTCGTTCACTGTCAACTCGATTAGGTTCCATGGGGGCCACCTTGATGACATGGGTTATCAGGCCAGCTCCACTGCGAATGTTTCCCGGAATTCTTCCATATGTAGGTAGGCGCGTAGGGAAGGAAATAAAACTCGGGACCTTGAACCTAACTGATAAAAAGACTTAGGTAACTTAGCATAATTTAGGATAAGTTTAGGATACCTTTTATAGAGTTTATTTTATCACCCTAAACTTAGGTCTCGTGTTTTCTTGCTCCCAGAGGGGCGCCTACCCCCGGGAGTAGGAAAACATCATGGAGACCTTAATATAGGTACCTAGGGTATCAAAACAAACTCAGTAAAGGGTATCCTAAGTCTATACTAAACTTATCCTAAACCTATCCTCAATTACCTAAGTCATTTTATCACTTAGGATCAAGGCCCTAAATTTTCTTCCCCTAGCCTACTAACTACTTGGTCAGACAGATCCACCGACCCTCCACTTATCCGATTCATTAACATATTCAAACCATATAGCACTTCATGTAACAGCGGAAACAACCAGATTTAGCTGATCAGAGCCAAGTTATGGCTAGCAGAGGCGCCCTCTCCGCAGTGAAATAGCAAAGTCCTGATAAGGGGTTCGATCTGGCCTGTCTAAAATAACAGCGTTTAGTTAGCCAATGCATCTAACATCTAAGCTTCCCCTCTTAGGGAATCGTCTCGTATACGAAGGTACAGAGTGCTCGGGAAACTCTTGAGATTCGACATAAATCAGAATACGATTCTTGAGGTGCATAATGGGAAATGAGCAAACTCAACATGATCGAGCTATGATCGGTTAAAAAGTATTAGCCGATGCATAATTGACTTGGTTTATCAGGTTCTGGTGATACAATATGAGCGTCTTTGGTTGGTGCCGTGATGATTCAGGCGTAAACATGATCCATCATGTGAGCCGTCGCCTCGCGTGCCTCGGGCCATTCATGATTCACAACACAGTACCCACGTCCATTTAGCCAAGACAAACAGGTGTTCGTTCATCAACTAGAGAGACAGGGGCCTCTGAGCGAGCAAGGCCAAACGCCCAAAACTCCCGCCACCGATAGAGAAGGGCCAATAGCCAGACCTGCCCCGGTGTCAACCTTGCGTTCACGGTTCATCTGACGTTGGCAGCGCTCGAGCAAAAGCCCAAACGTGCTATTTACCTCAACTAAGGTATTCAAGTCCGGCGACCGGATTCGTCACTTGGCGAACGAACGAGAACAAGGAAAGCTGCATACCTAAGGATACGCGAATCTGTTAAAAAGTGATTTGTCTGAATACAGTCATGTCTTTCACGACATGGCCAGTATCATTGCGTCTGAGGATACTCACCATTATTCGGGTGCCGTTTGTCCTCCATATCCAATAAAGCTATTTCCTCTTACGACTTCTCCTGCATCAACCGTAAATATCCAGCCCAGCAGACTCGGTATCAATCAAACTGTACCAAAGGATACCGTTTCCCGATAGCACAGCCGAGCGGATACCCACTGTAGTAGCAAACACAACATAACATAATAAAAGTCGCACCGCCTTATGCCGAGGCCTCTATAGTGTTCCAGTCCATGAAGTGGTCATGTTTCAAACCGCCACTATGTGAATCATCACAGCCAAGAGATCCCATCCGCCGGAGGCTTGCTTGTTGCACATTGCTCTTACCTACGCATGTCTTACACGGTTGTGTCAAAGTCAAGGAAGCGAACATTGTCCATGGAAAATCGGATACGGCCACGGAAAGGGATTTTGAGGATGGGCTGCATCAAATACCAATATTCAATTTTCATGGTGCATTGAAAGCGCCGTGACTGGAATGTGACATGAATCCATCATACACTTTTGTCTCTGCCTTTTCGAGCCATTGACCGAGTTGATAAGGGTTTGAGGAACCCTTAAAAGCAGGACAAGATTCCCTTAAGCTCAGGCATCTACACCTCAACTTTATCGAAATAATGAGGAGCCAATAGCTGTAACCACTTTAGCCCACGAAACGAAGCGAAGCATCAACTGGTCCTCGGTTTTCAGAACTCATGGGATCTATGTACCTAGAACATTTGGTGCCTTTGCCATTCCAGATCTACACTAAGTCAACTCCGAAGATGGCAAAGAAAATTTCCCAGTTTCCTTCAAAACGCAGACGCCTTAGTTGCTAGCAAACTTCTTAAACCCCGGTGAAGATCACAAACACTCGGAGGGTCTGCACATTTGAGTCAGCTTGATTCATATTTCCTATTCTGGCTGTTTGCCCGGCCTCAGCTGGAAGCTTTGAGCAACGCACAACAAAGTACATAAACCCGCCCCCCAGGCACGACATAGGAGCAAGGATGATGTATCAAGGCTGTTGAGCTGAGCCGGTTATGCATGTAACCCCTAGGCTCCGTCTTCTTTCTGCCACGTTTCGATGTAAGGCGAGGCCTCGTTCACATACAGAACAAGACGAGGATGGAAGAAGAATATATCCATCTCCCTTCCGATACGGCAGCAGCAACCATGACATATTCGCCATCGAACAGTCGTCTCGGCTCGTTAATCTCCTGCCCGGTCCCGAGTGTTTGTGCTGTGGTGCAAGCATGCGTTGACGGGCTCCGGAGCCACGTTGGTTTGTTGAGAGGGTGACACTGCAGTCAGTGCTCACTTCGCTCGAACCCCATGATGCAGAATGATGCAGACATTCGACCCTCAGCGACGCTCATGTTCGAGCAGCCTGCTCTCATTTCTTCGGCAAGCGATACTTGCCGCCGGTTAGCTCTAATTTATTCTCCGCCACCTTTTCTGCCAAAAACTCCTGCAACTCCTCATTCGTCCAGGAACAGCCATCAGGAATCAGCATTTTCATCATCATCAACATCTGTCCAAGAGGCATAATTGGTGCTGAGTTTGTCAGCATGCCCACGATGAACTGCCAGTATACAGTTCGGCGCTCCTGCTCCTTGGGATCGATTTTGGGCTTGCGAGGAGACGAGCGGCTGTCATTGCCAAGTTCCTGAGCTTCACCAGGATCACCTGATTCACCTGCTTGTTCACCCTCGTTCAAACGCTCCAAGACAGCATAGGTTCGGCTGCCAACGTCACGGAGCACTCTCCTGGAGATCCAGAACTTTAGAGCCAGGTCGAGAAGATCCTCGTCTATCATGAGCTGTTGCCATATCTCATCGAAAGTTCGTGCTGTGGGGCCGTGTCTGCCTTCAGTGCTGTCGTCCTGGAACGCGTATATCACAGCAGCCTCGTAAGTCTTGCATTCAAGCTCGACAGTGCGGTCCTCAAAGTCGAGTTTGACAGTTGCAGAACCTAACTGATCCAACCAAGTGAGTTTGCGAGAGGTCTTGAGTCGCTCAAACCCTTGTTCGTATTTGGCCCGTATCGCAGCAACGGGTGGCGGGACTGTGAAAGGGTCCTTAGATAAGGTTGGCCAGAAGAGTCTAGAGAGAATCTTGGAGTGATATGCTGGTGCTCCTGTATCAGGCGACGGTTGATAAATATTCTTTCCGAGAACTGCATCGACTCTTTTTGAGTCTTGAATATCCTTCATCATGACATCACAATTTTGTAAAGCATTGTCGCCGAACCGCTTTTTAAGCAGGCTCAGTACTTTAGTCTCTTGTGTAAAGCTTGCTTGGTTGGAAAGCAATCGCTCTGCGATGATGAGTTGGAACTCCTTGATAAAAATCTCTTGAGAGCCAAGCGCGTTGATCAGAGTTCCGATGACGTCCTCGTTCTTCGGTCTCTTGTAGTTGACACCTGCGTCTACAGGGTCGGGCACCCAGGTCATGTCGTTCCAGTCCAGGTCCTCGTCGTCGACCTGGCGCCGTTGCTGTTGAGAAGCTGAGTTGAGCAAAACTGCCAACTCCGCAAGCTTTGCCTTTCCCTCCCCCGTACTTGCTTCACTCGGGTCAGAGAGCAAGCCTGTGACCACGATTCTGATGGCATCGTCCCGCTGGCATAGGTACAGCTGTAGTGCGTGAACGACACGATCAAGGAGAACCTTGGAATGATCCAAGGCATGAAATGTCCTTATCATAGAAATGTACGTTTGAAGGATATCGGAGGTGGATCGTCCAGGATGAAGGAGTCGCTTCTGAAGAGCGAGGGAGAACGTGTCGGTCAATTGAAGACGGCGTTGTGGCGTAGAAACAGCCAGACGAAGATCCTCGAGTCCGCCCCGGCTTTCTGGCCAATTCAAAGCGATATCAAATAGTTCTTGAATTCGCAAAGTAGCAAGGCGACCTACCGCGATCTCCTTCCAGCATTCAACATCGTTCCAGGCGATATGGGTTCCAAGACGACTGAACACCTCAACAGCAAGGCGGCCGTACTGGTTTTCAACCCAATCTGAAAGATGGCCAAGGCACCCAGTCAGGGTGCTTGAGCTTGGCGTTGATGACTGCTCAGACGTTTTCCAGAATCCCGAATAGGAGGTCTTGACAAATTCCGCCATGCTGGCATCCATGATTTCGGCGAAGAGCACTTGAAATCTCTCCCCCACCAGTCCAACATTCTTAAGAGATTCGAGAAGCCCCAGAAGCTCTTCCCGAGCCGCCGCATCACCACAAATATCTTGTGATTCTGAAACCCCAACATAGCGTCCCCCTATACCAAGACTAGAACGTATGAGTCGCTGTAAGACACTTGTCAGGGCATTCGTCAAGCCCTGGTTGAGAGAGTTACCAATGATGGTATGTAAATCACGACGAAACTTTGAAAAGGATGAGTTAGCAGATGCATCGTCCTCAAACCCTTGGACTATGAGTGTCAAGCCCCAAAGGTATTGCCTGTGAGCTGCTTCGAGAGTCGAGACACTTGAGGCCAAGACCTGTGTGTGATCATCCTGACTGGAACACGCAGACAACAGTGGCATAACGTGATGAATGAAGTGCTGGCGAACTTGATGTGTGTGCCAAATGAGGATATCTTCTGTATGGGCTGCCTGGGGTAAAGAGCGGCCGGGGTAGAGGAGCAGAGCTAGGGAATCACGGAAACCCAAGTCAACGTCTTGTGACTCTGGAGGCAGAGTGCCAAAGGAATCCTCAACCGCAACTGAAGTTGGTAGTTGGATCTTGGAGGTGACAGTATGCCATGCCCGATCCCACCTCACCTGGTCATCGGCATGTTGGAGAGTCTCGTGAAATAGAGGCGGTGGTGGTGGTGGGGGGGCATGGTGAGGTGACGCGTGGGGACCTCCAAAGGCAGCACCTTCATCGATGAAGGCTGCAACGGGAGTTGAACGCGGCGTGGGCGATGAGACATCCGTCTGGAAAACGGACCAGAAGACCTTTTGCTTGCGTGCCCGGTATCGCGACGCTGTTATGATCATTGTGGCATTGTAGTGTGGTTTGAGATGGGGTGTGGGAATGTCAACAAAAGAGATGTTTTGGTTGCTGTTGGTACGTGCGGATACGGTCACTGGGAAGTGGATACTCTGAACATACACAAGGTTCTACCGTTTATGTCACAGTGGGGCGCAGGACGGGCCGCGCTCCTTCAACGGCACGGTGGACCCCGGTCGGAGAGCGGCCGACACTCAACACGGCAAGTCGTGTAAGTGATCATCGGGGGGGTTTCCAAAGACACAGGAAAGCCTTTCTTCTTTTTCGTAGGACGATTCTTGGAAGATAGTGCCTTTTTATAAGTGCATCGCAGAATGAGGGTTGAAAAAAAAAAGACAAATCAAGCGAACTATATGGAGCCCTTGGAAATCAACGGTTTACCGATACCTACAGTTCATTTGGTAAGAAGACCCGTGTAAATCGACTGTTTGGGCAGGATGGATACCAAGTACTGGTACGAAGTCAATTTGTTGGTTGGACTCGGAGGGTTTCGTTGCACACCCCCCTTAACGGCCAGTAAACCTTAGACGAAAGCACGGATGCCTTATGTCCATATGTACGTTTGCTCCAGATGTTTACGGCGTTTCAGATAAGGTATGAGGCTCAATTTTGTTTTCCTGTAATGTGTTGTTTCGCCAGCAGACTTTTGGACTATCTCATCGTCATTTGCCGGGAAACTCAGCCCAGCGGCCGGCTTGTCCAGCTTGGAGGATTGATTCATTCGCAAACTAAGCTTACTGTAGGGCGAGGCGATGCACACTGCACTAAGTTAGCTAGCTAGATGTCAGGTCTTGATGCCTAGCCCGCAGTGATTCGAGAAAGATTTAAAATTGAATTGGGTGAGAAGGAGGTGGCAGAGTATCGCTTCGCTGCGAGTCAGTCAGCCAGGGTGATAAAGTTGGAACAGAGTCGGTGACGGCGTGCTATAGGGGAGTAAAAGATACGACAGTCCCCATAGCATGGAAAGAATCCTGGACGATTTACAAAGCAAGTGAGCTGTGAATTGTGAATTGTCACTACGTACTACGTTGGAGTAAAAGCATGAGCTAGGTACTAAATAAACGAGACCATCAGCCTTCAGGGGCAGACTTTTGGGGCCTGCGAAGATCATCTCCGGCTCGGCCGGTACATACCAGTTCGGCTCCGGGGTGGTATTTTGGTCGTCAGTGGATCTTCAGTGGACGAAGAGTTCCCTTTCAAAGCGTGAACCGCCAAATAATCAGATTGAGGATACCATATAGGGAGTTCCATTCATACGTGGCTGCTCTCGACTCTATTTGCTTGGGGACGGCCAAAATTCTTAACTCCGATACAAAAACCAGCCCAGACACGGCTCGATCATCTCCGAAAACTAAGCTCGACCTTAATCATCCTCTAATTAGAAGTAAGGTAGTCTGGTTGATGGGGAGCCAATCCGTCCAGGTTCAGGCTTGGGGAAAGTGTCGAATGTTACCCTACTCTGTTGTTGTTGGTTTGACGGTCGAGGCGTTTATCGGCCAACGATGTACACAGTTCGCCGAATTGACTTCCAGCGCTCTTTTAGATGCTTGTTTATTTCGGTTGGCAGCCCCGGTTGATCGGGGAGCCAAAAAAAAAAAAAAAAAAGGAAGGAAGGAAGAGAAAAGGAAAGAGGACGAAAAAGACAAAAAAGGTAGCAAAAGTCTTATTGAAGGGTACTATCGTCCAGTCTGCGATATGGCATCCATTAGTCCCCAGAACTTGGAGAGCCCTTACCTTACCTACTGCCGACCTTAGGTACCTAGGTAAGGTAGGTTGCGTCCTGCGAATCTGTTTTTCGGGTCCCCTTGCAGTTGCTGTAGAAGAAGACGAAATGGCTCCCTTCTTTGTTAGGTCAATTCAACATTTTATCCCCACCTCCACGTTTATTTGGCCTTAACTGGACATAACATCCCGCTTTTCCCAGCCCTACCCAGAGTGCTTGTGCCTTACCATTGATCACCGTCGTATTGCGCAACGACCTCTTGTCTGGCTTCGAGATCCTTGATTCTCATGTTATGCTATGGATCGCTGGGGTGGCAGGGCTATTAATCAGTGAGCCTCACTCAGCCTAGGAAAACTGGGCTCTCTTATGACAGCGCCTCCCTGGTGGCCAGGGCTCCTTAATGCGTCCGCGCCTTTCGTGAGCTATCCGAATAAGGAAGGAAAGCTGACACAAAAGTCTCTCTTTTCACAGCAGAAAGACGAAGATCTGATCCGTTGGACACTTGGCACGCAACCTCGCCATTCTCGTGTCTACCTAGGGGTTGATCCATCGCCGTGATGGATTTCGCTTGTCGAATCAATTACTATAAGGGAAAGACGATCCCGTCGTTGTGGTCCATGGCGTCATAAACAGACAAGCATTTAAGATTTTCTTCCGGTTTTCCGGCTATCAAAAGGTTATCTTGGGTAGGCTACAATTGAAAAGTACGGTGCGTTTGTGCCGTAAGGTACTTTACCTACGGAGTACTTACTGGTAGGTATGTTTATTGTATGCTACCTTACCAGCTGCGGACCCAGGTTTCGTCATGGTTGATATGTTCTGATTCGCCAGCTCACATAAACGTACCGTAATTACCTACCTAGCTACCTACGGTACGTAACACAGTAGGCACGAATGCTGGTACCCAACAACTGTCGTTCCTGCGAGGACAACAGGAGTAAATGATCCATACCTACACTTCTCGGGTCGAGAGACACTCTCACAAAAGAACCGGGAATCTGTCCGCTCGCGTCAATTATCCCCACTTAGCAACCGTCCCTGCGTCAGGATTAGCCAAGCAGGCAAGGTCAAGTCAGTCAATTCATACATACATTGACGCATTACTTTGGCCATGATCCCGTTTGTCAATGACCTATACTTCAGATTGTTGCTGGTTCAGCTTTCTGACAGAATCAGGCTTGATTGTTCCAGAAACCATGTGGCTGGCCCCCGTTTCATTAAAGATCGAATGCAATGCACATGCCATGTCGGTGAATTGGGGTGCATTTTCGATGACTTCCTCTAGGTGTGAGTGTATCAGACCTGACAGCATCCCCACGCAGGACTCAGGGGTTGATGAAAACAGTCCAGACAGACCAGGGGGGTTCCAGTTCCTTTCACTTCGCGCCGCCTTGTTGGGCGTGGTGGTTACGCCGGCCGGCCGTTGGGACGACCACGATCCGACCGTCCATTCGCCAGCAATACCCCCGAACAAGGTGTCAATCTTCGGCCTTTTCGTCCAAGTCTGTTCTCCGGGGTGCATTTGTTTTCGGGGCCGAGACGGGTTCGGACACGGACACAGAGTCGGGTAGCAGTTTAATGTCTCAGCCGGCGTACGAAGTTAAGGTTAGCTAGCTTATCAACTTATTTGAACTTTCAAAATCAGCGATCGGTTTACTGTCGTTACCAATATTTCCATTTGAACAAATACCGTGGAGCTATGCGTCCGCGTAAGACGGCACTAAAACTCGTCTAGAACTACGGAGTACTTATTCTACTAACTATTATTCCTCATAAGCCAGGCACACCCGTTAAAGCCAACTTGTGTTCTTGACCTGGTCCATGCTATTTGCGGCGCGGCTGTGTCCTCTAAACCTGGTCACTCAGCCAAGGGTGGGCTTGAGTGCCGCGACGATCATTTGCTTCGGACTCACATCCCCTTCCCAGTAGTCTGGGGCATCCCGTCCTCCCTGTACGGTTGGCTTGTTTCAAATCCGATGCCTCGTTCGATTCTTGCATACTGTACTCCTCAATTTGCTCACTTCTGTCATCCATTCTAGCTTAGCCTGTACCGGTATACTTCCGTACCGCGCTTTTTGGTAGCGAGTTGCTAAGCTGCCAAATGCCTGAAACGGCATACACTAAATATTGCTGACTGTAGGCTCGTCCCCTAAAGCTGTGATATAACGTGTTGTATATACCTATATCTATGGTGGCCATACGTCAAACATCCCCATCGTGAATCTGTGTTTAAAGACAAAGCGTTATAGGCTGCTTCCAAATGAAGGAGAATAGATACACATAGAAGTAGAAAGATAGTACGACTCCATCCATACCAGCCTCTCATACGGGGGTATTGGTGAAAGAAAGAAAAAAGAATACAAAGAATGGCTAAAGGTAGACTCCAATCCAATATGCTCCGGAGGTCATCCAATAACAGTATGTCCTTGCCTCTTCAGACATCCCAAGTTGTTTCATGATGCAAACCATATCTGATGGCTGATGACATATAAACAACGCCAGCCGGCCGACCCCTTAACTTTAACAATTCGGACTGCAGGACCCGATCTTTTCGAGTCCTGGTAACTGACAAAAATACGCCGTCTTTAAAAGCAATATACCAATAATTGTGATCTTGTCGGTAGACCATAAGCCACTAACGCCAGATCCGGTTCAGTTCGAGGCTGAGCCACGAACGTTGCAGCAAGAATCGCATCCGACCTGCATACTCGCGTTGCTGATTTTATACAATTCGTTCATTTAAACGTATTTGACTCATGAGTTTCGTCGACCCTTACACTTGTCGTGAAGTAGGTGTCCGTTTCGTGCAGTAGTTCTCGTAAACTCGGCTCCGCAGTTAGGGCAGGAAGCCTTTGCGGCTTGGCCGGATTTTTCGCGCTGATGTCGCAACAAATTACTGAAAGTTGAGAATTGTCGTCCATTGCACCCGTGTTCCCAGCATCGAGGCTTCGGCCGACTTTGCACGACTCTGACATGTCCCGCTTCTTGTGTGTTTGAGCCTCCAGGGCCTAGGACAGTGGGTACCTGATACATAAAACTAACATCTTGACCAACAGGTACAGGCGGTGATCGGGCACTGTTATGAACAGTTAGCCTTGCTCGCAAAAGATATGCATGCTGAGAAATACCTATACTGACTAGATCCAGCATAAACTGCTGCATAATCCACGGGCATGTTATAGTTTGCTTGTCTGATGGTTAGAGATTAGCATGGTCCGGGCGCCGCCCTATATATGCAGGGGTCTTACAAGCTTTGTGGGTATGAGGTAGGATAAACGGGTGCGGATTGCGGTTGGTGGTCTTCGAGGGATGGGCTGTAAGATTGAAGATACGTTGAACTGCTCATTGTAGTCGGAGTATCGCTCATGAGAGTCACGGGAGCAGGGGCTGTTGTATAGGCTGAGATGTTCATAGGTGTTGTGGTAGTGGCAAGCCCCAGAGCCGAAGGCGCAGAATCGACGTAAGGGTTACTGTTAGCGCGGCGCATTCTGTTCACCAGCCTCGAGTCTCGACGTGCCCTATCTGACTGCCGTTTGACTTCTCGCTGGTCTGCCGAAAGAGACAGTCGTGGGGGGCTCGAGGTCACGGATCTCGACTGTGGTGGGGGTGTAAGGCTGCTCCCAGAAACATGTCCCATTGAAGGTGGTCCAGGACTTAGCAAACTGTTTCCAGAGTTACTTGTCTCGAGGGGACCTACAAATATGTCAATTTCGACTGGCATTGAGTAGGAGACACTGCAACGTACCTGGCCATGTGAAAGCTGATCGAGGTCCCATGGTAAAGGCTGGATCAAATTGGATAGCAACAGTGCTTGAATAGTAACATTAGAACTTTGTGTAGAATTCAAGACAAGAAGAAACAATACCTCATGCTGGTCGATCGTCCTGCCTGACGAGAGATCGGTACCAATTGATGCCTGTCCTCTTGGGGAAAGGAAATCAATGATCTTGGTCCCTCCGAAGCGTGGTCTGGTTGACTCCAAGTTGAATCAATGCCTGCGGGAGCCAAGGTTGGAAACTGAGAATATGATTGAGAGGCAGATGTGGAGAGGTAAGTAGACTCGGGGTTTGGAGTGTTCAAGTAGGGTGTGGATGAGTAATGGTTTGGCGAAGGAACTGGAGGCTGAGGGGATATTTCGAGCGTGTGAGTTTGCGGCGAGGCACTTATGTTTGAGCCAAGGACGAACTCCCCACTAACAGAGACTTGACTACCAACAGTTGATCTGGTGGGAGGTGAGCTCGGGTCGTCACAGGTTCCATCTGTCGTGTTCGAGTCCATCTTGACTGAGGATGGAGGGGACAAGGGAAGGTATAGAGACTCGGATTGAGACATACGGAAAGTCAAAGAGCTATGAAGCCGATGATAGAGTGGTCTTCTTGTTGCGAGGTGCGATTAATAAGTAAGGGAGCGAGGCTTATAACAACGCCTTGTGAAGCTGATCAGAGATGAAGACTCGAAAAGCTTGGTTATAAAGCGGTGATCTATCTATGGACCATCTGAGCCCCAAACACGGCCAGGGACAGGATGCCGACTTATATGAAGAGGGCAGTACACAATCCCGTTGGACGTGCATGACGAAGTAAAGGAACACTGACAGGAAACCTTCCTCGAAGAAGGCTTGAGTGACATGGAACCATGAGTACAGGGCAGTACCAGACAAGGGTCTGAATTGCAGTGCTGTGTAGAATGCCCCATATAGCGTACGCTGAGCAATGAGAAAACATGCCGGTGACAAGGGTGAACAATGATTGCGGGAGTGGCACCATTGGAAGGGAAATGGGGAAAAGAGCTTGGGTAACGAAGGGCTGGGGGGCGTGTTCAGAGAAAGATATCCAGTAGCTATGGCCCAAGGGACCAGAAGTCATGGTGTTGGTATGTGGCGTAGCGGGGAAAGGACAAGCACCCATCGATTTGAAGTTGACCGGCAGCGTGTTTAGCACCCATGTCGATTGCCTTACCAGGCCAGCGAGGTACCCATGCGACGGCTAGAGCTGACATGGGGTCATGAGTGCGCGCGCACCCACCTTGTAAGGCTCCATCAAATGGGTGGGTTCTCCTCCCACGTCGAATTCAAGCGGGTCATGGTAATAGACCCCATAGCTCAACCCATCGTACCCAAGATGGACTGGCACAATGAGACGACAGCCGAAACGTTCTGAGATTGGGTTGGGGCCGCAGCTGGCGGGTATTTGGAATACCAGACCAGTTTTGTCAAGCGATGAAGGGTAGAGAGGCGCAACATGATCCATTTGCCAGTTATATGCTATGCTTCAGGCTGATTCACGGTTGCCAATGATCGCTTGTGCTGCGTATGCGTCTCGCGGTTTAAAAGCCGAAACCCTGCTGGCGTCGAGATTTGACGCCTGGCGCTAACGCGTCAATTGTGAACCTTGGACCTTGCTTGTGAAGTTGGTTTGCATACTGGATATTGCACGCGATGGAACACGCGCAAACTGGGTGCTATGCTTTGCAGGCGGCAGTTGGCTGACAACTACGAATCGATGGCTTTCGAATGTTTCCTTGGAAGGAGAGCTATGCTCAGAGGCGACAGAGACGGGAAGAGTCCAAAGAAAGCCGTGGGATTCGAATCCTTGCGCTCGCTTCTCTCTGGGCTCAACGAGTGAGCGGTCGATGCAAACGAGAAGGAGCCGTCTCCTTGGCTGTGCAGAAACCGCAACTTAGGGTAATCGTGCCCTTCTGAGGCCCAATGGCATAATGTTCCAAGCGCGTCAATCCAATAGCACGAGTCAAAATGAGCGTGATACGTAGCGTGTTTTCCGTGCCGCCAAGAGCAAGCGCAGGTGGTCGGCGAGAGGCAAGCTCATCGTTAGGGGCCACGCAGTCTCGTAAATCCTCGACCTAAACGGTACAGTCTAATTAGTCCCATCACTCTGGTCGTGGAGATAGGACGGTCTTAACGCCTCTCGACAAAAGTTCAACGATTTGGTTTTTGCCAAGAGGGGTTCGTCGCGTAAGTTCTAACGTAGCCGTCAAGGACAAGCACCCTGGAACAGGCAGCCAGTCCAATAGGCTTGAACGTTGTGGGCAGCGGGTCGACAGTAATCGAATCCAGGGCCAAGGCCGCGGGCTCATCGCTGAAAGGGCGGTCCACGGCGATCCATGGATCAGAAAGACAGGACAATGGGTATAGGGATGGACAGAAGGGGAGGGTGTTGGGAGGCGTCCCCATCCAATCCAATGATACTGTACTACTCCCATCTACTGGGGGTTTCAAAGGCGCGCGGCGCCCGCTTGACATGCCGCTGAATTGATTGAGTGCCGGGCTGTGGAATAAGTCGGAATGGCTCCCCTACTGCCGCAGACAGGTTCATTACAAAAGCACAACCGTTTCTCCCAGACCCAGGAAGCGGGTGCGAGCGAATGGTGACTAGTAGACGCCTTCCGCTTTTGGCGCGTGGTTGGTCTGAACAAGCGAAGCGGAAGGAGTTGGTTAGCTGGGTAGTTAGGTAGGGGTAACTTAGGTAGGCGCCATTGACAGGCGCAACTAACTGCGCTAGAAGGATGAATAATGCTTGCGGCCATCCATTCTATTCCCCCGCTACCGCGCAAGTCGCTATCAACCCATTTCCCTCCCATTTATGTTCCCTGTCGATCCGCTTCCACGAGCGGCCGACTCTTGGCCTTCAACGTTAATAACACCAGGTCAAGTTAGGGTGGTAAGGTCAACTAGCCTAGCCCGGCAGTTTCCCACTTCACGGACTTTTTCTGACTGTCAGACCGCTGGAGGGCACTCTCTTTCACACTCTCAGTGCATTCTACCTTATTTATCATTGTTGACTTTGCATCTCCCCCTCTCCCTATTGACAAGGTATCTTCTATCATCGAAGATGCAACACAACATCCTGGATCATCAACGTGGCATGGGTGACTGACTATCATTGTCACGCACAGCCCCGTGATCGTTCCATGCCCTTATCCTCAGACCCCAGGTTCGATTGCTCACTCATCCGCCCCCATTGACACCTTACCCTCCATTTCTCACACTCCAGATAGGCAGCAGGAATAGCCATGCACGAAAGCAACCACAAAGCTCTCATAGGTCACTAAGCGCGAAATCTGCTACGTATCGAGTCTATTTCCGTTTTAGGTAATCACCGGGAAACTGTATACCCCCCATCCACTCGCGTTGCTTGGTCAGAATAAGTTGTGCGTCATCATTCTCACAGTCCACCTGCACCATCACTGAGACCTTTCATTAACCCTTTCGGCTAGTCACACCTCAGACGAATTATAGGACAATGAACCCGAGTAGGCGTTTGGCGAGAATGACAGATCCAAAAACTCGGACTCTGGCTTGCATCGGTCCGATGCATCATGGCAGCCTTGACCGATTGCAACACTGAACTCCACTTTATGGTGGCTTGGCCATGCTTGCCGCAGCTCGTAAAGACCCCAGGATAAAACGGCTGCAGCGCTGACGGCGTCTAATAGAGCCAATCGATATGACTCTCCTATTCCACAGGCGCGCAATGAGCCAATGTCCTAGAGAGCGAGGATCGTCTAAGCCAAATGGCGCAGTGCGACAAAAGGACATTGACGTGGATCAGCAGCCTTAGCGTTTGGCCCCCGACTCCTAGGAAGCCAATCGGAAGAATTGGCAGGGCCATAGCTTAACCAAAACAACACTAGACGTTTACTTCCAGGTCTATGCTGGCAATCTTCATCGCGCAGTGCTTGGCTTGCGGGTCAAGCCCCTACGACTACAGAAACGCTGGAACACAACTCTCTAGCCCAAGCCTTATTACCGATGAATGGGTCCAGAGCTTGAGCAGCTTGATCCTTACCAGTTTTGAGCTTATAATGATCATTCCGCGAGTACCACAGACACTTAGATTTTCATGATTTTATGTCCATCTGAAACATAGCACAGCCTCTTGTTATCACCCTATGTATGAAACAAAGCAGAGAATAACTCCACACCCAGATCCTTGGATGGTGCCTTACGCCTTGACAAAGGAATCTTACTTCACTGATATAGTTCATACCTATTGAGCGTTGTTACCTATTGAGCGTTGTTCGCCTCTGCGATGTTCGATACGTTAGGTAGCCCGGTAAGTGAGATTCTGATATGGACCACCCTTAGCACTCTGTCGGTTTGAGGATGCAAGATTAGTCAAAGGCGTGATTAACGTCAGGCTGGTACTATAATTCAAAGTCAGGCATTTTTTGTTAATTGCCGCTTCAAGATTGCTTTTAGCCGATTTCGATTTTGAGATTTTTCAACTGATTAGTTGACTCATTTGCTCTTCATGACGGTTCCTCAAGTAGTACTTCCCAAGGCTGTTAGGCTTGAAACCGCTACATCTTCCAGGTGCTTGAGCTGTTTTTGAATTCGGAACCGCTGAGTACGAGGTATTGCTTACTCACTAGAACAGCGCTTGAAATATACCTTCCTTGTATCAACCAATACTCGGAATCGTAGATTGGTCTGCAAATGCGTACCAGAATATGCCAGGAGCTTGCTGCATACTATCAAACCTGAACAGCACTAGCCATTTCGAGAGAGCTCAGCCCGTTGATATGCAAGCATGAGGCACTACTTTGAATCTATTACAGCAGGTATTTGCAGCAAACTATTGTGGGAAATGACAGTGTGGTCCTAAACTTCGAGCCATTTGTTCATCTGCATGGAGAAACAGTACTGTCAAGGCAAGAACTGGGTCTTAGCTTTTGTGAAGCTATCTGGTCGTCACCCAATCTAATCTACGCGCGCGGCATCCCCACCCTTCAGTTGAACACACTAAGTTCATTTGCAGGGAAGCTGAGAAAGCCAAGCCAACTCAAAGAGCCATCAAACATCAAAACACGCACGATTCATGGAGGCCACGCATGTTTCAGACACGCCACGGTTTCGTCCCCCTAAGAAGATCCCCAGAAATTACCCTAGGGATCAACGAGACAGCCAAGATCCCTCCCTCTAGACCACTCGAGATCATACCGCGAAATGCTCCGGTCAAACCAGATTGCTTCTAGGGATGAAACCACTGCTTCCAGCTCAGGAGGCTCAGCTTCGATCGGCCTAGACTACTGCAATCCTCAGATTGGTTTATGTCGCTGCCTGGAGAGGCGATCGATGCCATTTTGGTATTAAGGGCTCGTACATGTTCGAGGGGTGTATTGGTCAAACAGACCCCAATTAAGCAGTGGGCAAGGCAGACTGGCACGACTAGTCGACTACTCATCGTCTAACTAATAAGCTGCGGGAAAGCCTGAAGAATATGGTTATGGCATAGCGTCACTGCTGTCATCATACCCTGATCCAGTCAGTATTCGGTACCGTCTCTAGCAATTTTCAGCAGTCCATCCTCTAATACTCAGGAATAACGGAATCGCTAGGATTGGCATAACGACACAGGCATATTCGCCTGGTCTGGCTCGGTGGATTCAGCATTGGCGAGCTTGTCACGGTCGTCTTGCTAATGAAGGCTCAAGTGTCAGGAAGTCTCAAGCCGTGTGTTGAAGATCGACAAGCTCCATTAGTTAACGTGACGTCCAGAACCTCTACCCGATCACAGAAAGACAAGGGTCCTGGCCTTGTTAGCCGATAAAGTATCCATGTTATATACTCCGCAGTGTACATGAGGATACAAACTTCAGCAGGTGGTCACTACATTTCCGACTCTCGTGGCAGGAGGGGGCAAGAAAACTTTAGACCTTTATCCTAAGTGGTGTCTTTGATGAAAAGACTTAGGTAATTTAGTCTCATCTTAGGGAGTCTTTACTGAGTTGATTTTGAGCTACTCTTCTAAAGTCTCATATTTTCTTGCTCACTAAGGCGTGGGGAGATTAGTGCCAGCGTATTTATTTAAAAGAGAAACCTTTCGAGTAAGGAGTGTTCTCTGATTGGAGACTATCACCAAATGTTCGTCACAGCCCGAACACCGATTGCTAACACAATCACAGTCACCGTGCGTGATGCAGAAACAAAGATCTCATGTTTTGCAATCGTAGCCCGCATTCTTCGGTCCCGAGCTGTGCGATCTTTTAATCCCTGAACGTTGTGTTGCAGACTAATTGTAACATGAAAAGGTGGTGCTCAAGAGAACGATGGGAACCTCCCATGGTCTGAGACACGAGGCAGTGTTGTTTAGTGAAACATCTTATGTATGAAACTTTTCCTACACTTGCATGTGATTTGATTAATAGGAAGTTTAGCATTGAATGGATCTTTTAACTTCAAAATACTATGCGCCTTGCAGACTCAAAGCTGTAAAATCCTCGAGGTAGGCGTAGCTACGAAGTTACAATACCCCAGAGCAGCACAACATGTGTATCTCTTGACTTCCTTCGTGACTGACCTCACTGCAATAGGGTAGTCTCCATCTATACTATGGTCTTGTTATCTCTCTATATAGGTGTATAATATCCGTGTTCCGCTATCGGTCAATATCCGCGGGAGCGTTCAGTGCTCATGTACCCTGGGCAACTAGCCTCCTTTTCACGGCCCAGATATCCGTACCGTCAACTTACGGCCTTCGGCACAGGTGAAAACAACCCTCTTGACTGGTCCTTCAATTTCTTGGGATGACGGAGCTTGTTGAGCAAGTTGTTGACTAGTTGTTGTACAGTTCCGTATGTGCATCAGAGCTTTTGCTGTTGAGAATCTTGAACGATATCGAACAACTATATTGCTTACAAGAGCAAACATACTTGATGAAGGACATATCTCATTGAACTCTGGTGGCCAGGTCATAGTCACAGAAACTGGTTGATGTCTAATCAAGTAAGACAAAGGGGTGGATCTGAGGACTGGTACATAAATCAGACTGAACATGTGAAAATTGCCCAAGCTAGCCTACGTTCGGAGTTCGAAGGACCAAGGACAACTTGCACCAAAAAGATACACCTTTTCTTGTGGGATTCCTCCACAGGGCTTCGCAGAGGGATGGATATCAAGGGTTACTCTATGCCATGCTTTTCTCTTCCCCCAAGTCTTGCGATATAATATGCATGGACGGCGCCAATGGTCATACGATCAACTACGGCAAGCATCATACTAATGGCGGGATGAGGAGGAGGGAGTCTAAACAGGTTCATCTGTTCGCTAGTTGTTGGGGATGCGGTCGGTACCTGAGCCCATCACTGCCGTGCGAACCAAGCGGTGGGCCAAAGAGAACAACGTACTGAATCCTTCGGGTGAGATGTCTTCTAGCGGCCGCAACCTTCTTTCCAAGAGGCGCAAATACAGGGTCTTGATTCCCAACGGTCTCTCTTTTGTGACCGACAATGCATGAGTTG